AAGACCCTTTCTCTCTCTCTCTCTCACTGTCCACTCTGCCTGACAAAAAAAAAATAGTTGGGAAACCATGCCTAGAGCACTAGAGCATTCTTCAAAAAGCTCATGAAAACACATATTATGGAGAAAAAAAACTATACATGGATTTCAACATGTTTTTGCACCAAAATAAATTTCAAATTCCATTTTTTCTACCAATGTTTTGAGCACCCTCATATCATCTGATTGGGGAGACTATACTCTCATGAAATGAAAAACCAGGTAACCAACCACAAGCACAAAATTAAATACAAAACAGTTCGTAGGGGTTCAGGAGATGCAAAGTAGATAAGTGATCTGTCAGGTTGGGCTGGTTGGGGAAAGTTTACAAGAGCATGTACGTTTTGAGCTTTCAATTAGAAATGTAAGGAGGTGATGGACATGAGTTGGTGGAGAGGTGGACCTTTCCAAACAAAATCACAAAGGGAGACAATGTAAGATATAACTCAACCCAGGACAGGTGCCTGCCCCACCCTGCCATTTCAATATCTCAGCAATTCTGCATGATCTGCCACCACACCTGTTTCAGTTAGAAGACAGCTCCTTGTGACATAGGGCCCACCAAGCTCTCTCCTCTGCTGAACTCACCACTCAGGCGGCACTTCTAAGGTACTCCAGGCTGGGCTGCAGGAGGAAGGCAAATATGCAGGAAATGTCTACGGCCATTGTGAGCAATTATGTCCTGTCCCTCCTAGCCAGACCTCAGGTAGGACTATATGACCTCCTGTATCTACCTAACTGACAGGTGGAAGGAAGATACATGTTGGAGTACAACAGATAGCCCTCCTCACAGGAGGAAGGCCCAGCAAATATAAGAAGCAACACCCCAAATGTTAGAAACATTAGAGTTCCTGCCCTCTGGAGCTTGCTGACTGCTAGAAAAATCAGAACGTGGCCAGGCAGAAAAATCCACGCGATACATTTATTCAAAAATTGTTAAATGTCAGAGCTGGCGCTGTGGCGTAGTGGGTAAAGCCGTCGCCTGTGATGCCAGCATCCCATATGGGCACCTGTTCGAGACCCAGCTGCTCCACTTCTGATCCAGCTTTCTGCTATGGCCTGGGAAAGCAGTAGAAGATGGTCCAAGTCCTTGGGCCTCTGCACCCGCCTGAGAGACTTGGAAGAAGCTCCTGGCTCCTGGCTTTGGATCGGTGCAGCTCTGGCCGTTGCAGCCAACTGGGGAATGAACCATTGGATGAAAGACCTCTCTCTCTGCCTCTCCTCTCTCTCTCTCTAACTCTGACTTTTCAAATAAATAAATAAATCTTTAAAAAAATTGTTAAATGTCAATATCATTTGATTCCTGGCCCTTACTTACTGATTTATTTATTTGGAGGCAGGTGAGACAAGTCTCTATTGCTTTGGGGCGAGGAGGCTCAGGAGCTCTTGGTGGGGCAGGTGCGTTTCCTCTCCTCCATCTCCAGCTTCTGGCTGTGCAGGATGGCACTGGCTCTGCAGATGGCAGCCATGCCCAGGTCAGGGCCGTACTTGGGAATCATGTGCAGCATGTTGCTGGCGGTGGCCTGTGCGTTATTGATGGCGGTCCTCGGGGTACGAGGTGGCTGGCTTTCGCTGACCCGATCTCTGCTTCCTGACACCCCTGTCGTTGGCAGCCCACTCCAGGTCCACGGTCTTGCAGCGGATAAGCCCGTCGTTAGCGGAAGGCGTAAAATGGTTTGAGCTATATAACAGAAACCACAGAGTACCTGGGGGTGCAGAAAAGGACGAACTAATTGCACATGAGGGGGACAGGCAAGCCTGAATAGAAGTTTTCCAAAGTAAGAAATTTCAGAGGGATGACTTCTCAGGATGCAAAGGGACATGTATTGAAGGGCATGGTATTTCCAGGAAGCAAGGGAAAATTCGGGCTGGTTGGAACTCAGTGTGCTTAGTGAAAAGACGAGGTAGAAAGGACGTGGAAAGCCTGGCTAGGAAGTTTGGACTTTATTGCATAGGCGTTGGAAAATATCAGAGTAAGTTTTAAGCAGGGAAGTTGTATGAATCACCTGTAAGTGATAGATCCCAGTTCCCCTGCCTCCTTGGGCAAGTCACTTATTCTCTGAACATTGTTACTGTCTTCATCTACAAAATGGAGATAATAGTGGTACCTACATCACAGGGTTGATTTGAGGAGTAAATGAGCTAACATTGGAAAAGCCATTAGCACTGTGACTGGTACCTAATAAGCGCTCCATAAATTTTAGCTGTAATTACCAGGCGTGTTTCTTAGAAAGGCAACCTTGTTGGCAGCATGGAACATAAACTGTAGCGGGGAGAAAGATTGATGGAAGGAGGTCTCATTAAGATGATGCCACAATTTAAATCCAGTTATAAATGAGGTCTTGAACTGGGATTCGGATGTAGGAAATTAAGAACATGAAAAACTAATGGGTAAATCTAGCTTGGAGACTGGGTAGACCAGGGCAACCATTAACCAAATTGGGCAATAAAAGGGGAGCCAGAGGATAAGGGGTGGGGGGTGCAGGCACAGATAATGAATTCATTTGCGACCTGTTGAATGAGAAGTGAAGCCGCCGAGGATGGGAACCTGGAGAATATTATTTAAAGGCAGACCAGAGGAGCTCGGGGAGGAAATTCGTGAGAGAGACTTCACCGTCATGGGGGGGGGGGGGGGGGCAGGGACTGGAGGGGGACACCGCCGTCAAGCGACATTCGTTTGTTACAAAAGCCCCCTACCAGCTCCGCAACGTGAGCCTATTTCCTAGTCCGTTTCTTGCTTCTCGATTTTCTGCTCGTAGAGACGGCATTTTTTTTTCCTCTTGCCGTCTCCTAACTGAAGGAAGGAAAGGTCTAGCATCTCTCAACACGGTCACTAGGCGACCCCGAATCACAAGGGAGAGGGCGAAAAGACGGGGGAGAGAAGGAAAACGATTTTTAAGCATAGAGAAAGAGTCCGCGACGACCTCTAATAACTGAAGTTCCACCTCCCCATATCCTGCCACGCCGCTCTCCTGCCGCCCGTATCGGGCTCCTGGCCGCGGGGCAGGACGGGAGATGTAGTCCTCAGGCCGACCAGGCAGGGTGGCAAGACAGAAGAACTCGGTTTCCCAACTGGCTCGTCAGGCGCGTGCGCAGATGGCTGCCCCAGCGAGTGGTAAACAGAGACGTCAGGCGGGGGCTGCTGCTTGGAGCAAAACAAAAGGGAAACCCGGGGGGCGGGGGGTGGGGGGGTTTGATAGGGAGAGCGGTGCGGGAATCAGAGGGGCTGGGGCCACGAGGACCTGGACCCTACTAAGAGTGGCGAGGCGGGGAAGAGGCGGGGGGAGGGGGAGCCAGGGGAGGGGCAAGTGACGCGGGGGAGCGGGGCGTGGGGGAGGGCAGTGATCCGGGTGGAGGAAATTTGGGAGGAGTGTCCGGGGGGCAGCAACTTAAAAGGGGGAGGGAACTGCGGCTAAGGAGACGTTCGGTGATGGGACCGCAATGTATGAGGGGATACCGTGCCTCAGGTTTAAAAGAGCAGGAAGCTGAGTGAGAGGCTAGAGAAAAAGTGCCTTCGCTAGGCGGAGGTTACAGGTGGTGTCTCGGAAAGAGCTCCGAGGCTGTAGGCTGTAGTCGGGAAGAAGATCGGAGAACTGTGTGGAAGGGGCAGCTAGGGGACGAGGGTCCAGGGGCGAGGGGGAACTTCGCGACTTTCTGAGGACTGGTAGGAATGTGCCTCCTGGCCCTCAGTGCTTCCCCCCTGGGGGGAGGCATCGTGAGGGACTGTGGCAGGCTCCAGTGAACGCTGAGCCGCGGAGGTCCAACTCCACGTATGGATCCAGGGAATGAGAATTCAGCCACAGAGGCTGCCGCGATCATAGACCTCGATCCCGACTTCGAACCCCAGAGCCGTCCCCGCTCCTGCACCTGGCCCCTTCCCCGACCAGAGCTCACTACTGAGCCTCGCGAGCCGTCCGTGGTGGAGCCTAGTCTGGGAGAGAAGGTACACACGGAGGGGCATTCAGAGCCCATCCTGTTGCCCTCTAGGCTCCCAGAGCCGGCAGGGGGCCCCCAGCCCGGGATCCTGGGGGCTGTAACAGGTCCTCGGAAGGGAGGCTCCCGCCGGAATGCCTGGGGAAATCAGTCATATGCAGAACTCATCAGCCAGGCCATTGAAAGCGCCCCGGAGAAGCGACTGACACTCGCCCAGATCTATGAGTGGATGGTCCGCACGGTGCCCTACTTCAAGGACAAGGGTGACAGCAACAGCTCAGCTGGATGGAAGGTAACTATGACCCCTTTACCTCCGTCCCACCACCATCTAACCCTGGGCCCGCCTCGCCTCCTTACTTCTGTCCTGGGGCCCCCTTTTCCCACCCGCCCCCCTGCCGCCCCTTTGGGAAGCTGGGAGATACACCTTCTCAAGCTCCAGTTAGACAAACATTTACTTAGTACATAGTATATGCCACACTCAGAGCTTGATGCTGGAGGATCCCAGATGAATAAGACACTGTCCCGGCCCTGGAGAAAAATCGAATTCTCTGCCTGCTGCTCAACACTCCCAGCACTTTGGCTTGGGCCGCCCCAAACGCTTATTCCCACAGAGAAGTCTTTATCCTATGTACAGCAGGAACTGTGTGGATTCCCCACACGAACTTCGCCTCCCCACCCCACCCCCCCACACCTCCCACCCCGACACCTTTTCTCCCGTTCCTGTGGGATTGCTTGGATTTTCTGCTTGCTTCCCAGTACCTCAGTGCAGAGGTACTGTTGTTCTACCCAAGACGACGGAGAAAGGTAGCAAAGGATCACAAGAGTGATATTCGTGGGGAAGGGGAGCTGATTGTATGCACTAAGAGGAAAGCGGGCTATGAGCCGTGTTCAGTCTCAGTCTACCTGATAATGCCAAGCAACTCTGCCTTGTAAGTGGCTACCCAGGCTTGGGGGGATGGGGGAGTCTTCCTTTACTTTGGAAGAATATTAGTCATGAGAAGGAGGTAGGGCTCCAACTTCGGGCCATGAAAAACTCATGCTGAGAAGTAGGGGGTTCTAATCACAAAACGGGGGGGGGGGTGCTTCAACTCCCTCTGGATGTCTTACACCTCCGCGGGTGGTGTGGTCAGCATAGGAGAAGAGGAGAAGGTTGCAGTGAGCACAGGGTCTTTCCCTAGCTTTAGGAGATTGAGGAATCAGATCTGCGGTATTGCTCGGGGCTGGGCAGAACAGAAGGGACAGCTGACTGAGACCCTTGGCACTATTTCTGGGTAGACTGCCATGCCACAGTCTCAGCTCCTAAAGAGCTCCCCTCCTTGGACCCAGCCTACACAGCTGTCTTTCTGTTCCCTTTGGTTCATTTTTCCAGGCTAGAAGAAATAACCACGAGTTGTTAGTTATGTTGTGGGAGTATCGTCCCTCATAATTTACACTATATTGGGCTTTATTGCTTACAAAGTAGTTTTAAGGGTTTTTTTATTTTATTTTATTTTATTTTATTAGTCTTTGCAGCAATTCTGAGATTCCACGTTTTATAGAGTAGGAAACCTAGGTGCAGAAAGGTTAGGCTGCTTGCCTAGTATCAGCAGAGTGAGGACCTGAACTCGGGTCTAACTGTAGATTGGATCTTCCCAGAACGGCATGGCTTGTACACATTAGAATGATGGCAGAACCAAAGCAGGCTGAGCGTGGAGCTTCCAAGGCTCTGCACGCCCCTGGGAGGAGGAAACCTCCAGCCTGAGCTGCCTTTCCTGGTGAGTGTCCAAGGTTGCTCCCACCCCGCCAGGGGGCGGCACTCATTTAGAGCAAGAAAGCTTGAGTTTGGTGGCTTGGGGAGCAATTAGCAGTCACACCCCCACCTTCTACCAACATGTAAGAGTTATAGGTTTCTAGGGAACTGACCTCTGCAATTAAGAGGCTGTACTGCTTGCTGGTTCCAAGGCCCAGGGAAGAGAGAATGAACAAATGGGCCGCGTGAGTACTAAGTGGTGGGGAAAGGAATGGGCACTCTCAGCAGCCCTGGAGTTAGAAAATGAAAAGGGAGGGAAATCATGTGCCAGAAGTCACTGTGGTCCTGTTACTAGGACAAATGTGACTCTTGGAAAAAACTCCAAAGCATCAGTGCGGCCGGTGTAGTGGGAGCGATTACGGCAGAGTCCCCGGAGACAGGTCTTTTGGCTAAAGAGCCCTGGATGGAGAAGTTGCTCAAACATGGCTCCCCAGGCAAAGGGCCTCCTTATCTTAGAGCAGCAGTCAGAAAAATGCTTTCTAACTGTCCGGAGCCTCAGCCCCCTAGTTTCTCCCAGCCCTTCTTGTCCCCCTCCTGAGTTTCTGAACCAAAGAGGTTCCAAATGGCCCTAAGGGTAGAGAGATTATGCACAAATTCCTGAGAAGTGGGGGAAAGGAGCTAGGAGAGAGGTAAGAAAGAAAGGGGGGGGGGTGCTCAGGAAGGGAGGGAAAACAGAGCTTCCAATACAGAGCCACAAGGAGAGAGCCTCACCAGTCTTTTGAGTCCTAGTGCCAGGGCCACCCACCATTCCGGCAAGCACTATCGATTCCGGATTGAGGATGTATTGACTGTGTGCTGTAAGCTGGGCGGTCGGAGGGGGCATTCTCCGGCTGCGGGACTGGAGGACTAGAACGCTGCCCTTGGTGCTCATACTTGGTAAGACGAATTGACATGAGACCCTACACCACACAGTGTCGATTGGGCAAAAAATTTTTAAAAATGTGTGGAACAGATGAAAACTACCAGACAAGAAATTTTGCATGCCCAAGTGAAAGTAACCACTTTATAAGAGGTGAAAACTTAAGCTTACTTTAAAAAAATTTTTAATTGGCTTTATTTTCAATTCTAAAATTGGAAAACACTTCATCAAATCGAATAAATGTTCCTATGGGCTCAGTAGATGTTAAACTTGATCTTGACAAAGTAGAATTTCCAAAGGGGGCAGCCCTCCTAGGAAAAGGAGGGATAGGGGAACTGCACCTCGTGGATGAGGTACAGTGAGAGGCCGGAGCTGAATGTAGTTTGAGGATGTGTGTTGCCAGGATTCAGAGGGAAAAAAAAGGCATTTTCAAGTCCTATGGAGAGCTGACCCACCCAAATGCCCCGTGGGGAATTGAGCCTGCACAGGGCCCAGGGCTCTAGCCTCTCGGCCTATTTGAAGAACTGGCACAGCACAGAAGCAGCCCACCCCAGGCTGGTGCTAACACCATTGTCTTGTCGACTCCACCTGAGCCTGCACTCAAGGAAACAGGTGGAATGTGCTTTCCCGCCTGAACCTAGTTGTGGCAGGGCTGGGAGTACCTCTCCGCACACCGACCAGCCCTCCCCCCACCCCCCGCCCGCCCCGTTCCCCCAGGCCTGGGAGCTTTGCCTGGGGGGTGCAGTGCCCTCCGGTAGGTTGTTACCAGGTCTTCCCAGCTTCCATGCAGAGCAGCCTGGAGCAAAGGCTGAGCCACGCTTGTCTTCCAGTGGGTACCAGGTACTCCCGTGTTCTCCTCCCCCTTACCCCTCCCTCTGCCAGTCCCCCGACCCCAGCTTTGACTTTCTCTGAGGCTCCAGGGCCACGTCCCCTGCTGTGTGTGTGTGTGTCTCTGCGTCCCTTTAGACTAGACCGCTGGCTGCTGACCTCCCTACACCCACCTCATGCCCCCTTCCTGCCGCCTCTGCTTCTTCCAGAACTCGATCCGCCACAACCTGTCCCTGCATAGCAAGTTCATCAAGGTTCACAATGAGGCCACTGGCAAGAGCTCTTGGTGGATGCTGAACCCCGAGGGAGGCAAGAGCGGCAAGGCACCCCGCCGCAGGGCAGCCTCCATGGATAGCAACAGCAAGCTGCTCCGAGGCCGCAGCAAGGCCCCCAAGAAGAAACCAGCTGTGCTGCCAGCTCCACCAGAAGGCGCCACTCCCACCAGCCCTATCAACCACTTCGCCAAGTGGTCGGGCAGTCCTTGCTCTCGAAACCGGGAAGAAGCCGATGTGTGGACCGCCTTCCGTCCACGAAGCAGTTCAAACGCGAGCACAGTGAGCACCCGGCTGTCCCCCATGAGGCCCGAGTCAGAGGTGCTGCCGGAGGAGGAGATGCCAGCCTCGGTGAGCAGCTATGGAGGAGGTGTCCCACCCACTCTGAATGAAGATCTAGAGCTGTTAGATGGGCTCAATCTCACATCTTCCCATTCCCTGCTGGCCCGGAGTAGTCTCTCTGGCTTCTCCCTGCAGCACCCTGGGGTGACGGGCCCCTTACACACCTACAACACCACCCTCTTTGGCCCAGCAGAGGGGCCCCTGGCGGCAGGAGAGGGGTGCTTCTCAAGCTCCCAGTCTCTGGAGGCCCTGCTCACTTCTGATACGCCACCACCCCCTGCTGATGTCCTCATGACCCAGGTAGATCCCATTCTGTCCCAGGCGCCAACACTTCTGTTGCTGGGGGGGATGCCTTCCTCCAGTAAGCTGGCCACGGGAGTCAACCTGTGTCCTAAGCCCCTGGAGGCCCCAGGCCCCAGCAGTCTGGTTCCCAGCCTTTCTATGCTAGCACCCCCTCCAGTCATGGGAGGTGCTGCGGCTCTGGGGACCCCTGTGCTCACACCTCCTACTGAAGCTGCAAGCCAAGACAGAATGCCTCAGGATCTCGATCTGGATATGTATATGGAAAACCTGGAGTGTGACATGGATAACATCATCAGTGACCTCATGGATGGAGGCGAGGGACTGGACTTCAACTTCGAGCCAGGTACAGCACCCCTTGATTGCAATCGCATTTCATGACCTAAGTCTGTCTGCTCCTAGGTGGCCCAGTTAGCCCCATGATCTGAACAAGGAGGTGGTTTAGCACAAGGGGTGGCTGAAGCTCCTGGGGATCAGAGGGAAGATGTCATAATATTAGATGGCAGAGTTTCCAGATGAGTCCTTGAGACCCCCTTGGCAGTGCCTGCCCCTCCAGTGTAGTGCCGAAGAGGTTGTGGGGGGGGGGGGGGGGCAGGCGGCATCTCTGCTGTCGTTGGTGTGAGTGGGGGTGGTGAAAAGTGGTCATGTCCCAGCTGAGCCTCTTACCTTGTCCATTTCTTCTTCCTGCAGATCCCTGAGTCGTGGCTAGAAGCCTTGTCCCCTGCTTCAGCGGTGGAGCCAGGCGTGTCCATATACACTCTTTTCCCTTGGAGCCCTCCCCAGGAATTTGGGCCCCTGCCTTAGAGTAGGGGTGAGGTCTGGGGATGGACACACACACACACACACATATACACATACACAAAGTTGAGGAAGTTACAAAGCTGCCCCTTAGGGGGACTATAGCGGGAGGGAGTTGGGAGGGGAAAAGGGAGAGGGTTTATTCTCACTGTGCCATTTTGGGGGGTAAGGCCCTTTTCTCAGGAGCCAGCCTCTGCTTCCCCCATTCCCACCCCTTAGGCTTGGTAGCAGGGGTGGGCTGTGCTGTTGGAAATGTGAAGTCACCAGTGGCCTTACCCCTGCCTTTGGGAGCAGGATTTTTTTGTAGAGAGTCTTATCTGAGCTGGGCCAGGCTAGGTTGAGCCTGGGATTTTTATGCAGTGGCCCCTTAGGCCCGTGGTGTGGTGTGGGGTGGGGGGTGGGGGTGGGGGTATAGGGGACCTGGAAGGGCCAAGGTCTGAGCCCTGGAGTGGCTCACCAGGCCAAATCACCCTTGGAAGGCTGCAGATAACAGAAAGGCTTTTTATAAACTTTTAAAGAAATATAAACACAAATATAGAAGATTTTTAACAGCGGCAAGGTGCTAGTGATGGGGAGAAGGCTTTTTTTTCTTTCTGAGGGCTTTGTCACAGTGACATGATGCAAACACTACAGACAGTACTGGGGGAGACCTGGAAGGAGGGGAGGGGTGGGGTGCTTCCCTATTAGAAAAAGGTCTATGCACAGATAGGCTGGGGTTTCCCTAAAGAAAAGGCTAAGCCAGGTCCCCTCTTTCTGTCAGCTTGTGCCGGGGAGTGTGTAGTAATGGGGTGCAGCCACACTCTTGACGATGACCCAGTGTGGGTTAGTGCTGGGGTTAGGGAGAATGCATTGAAGGACTGGAATTTGTTTGGGGCCTGGGAGGAGGTAGGAGTGGGGGAGAAGAGAAGAGGAGGATTTAGGGTGGTGAAGTGAGGTACAGAGACCTCCCTGTTCAAGGCCCCTGACAGCTGTCCCTGCCCTTCTTCCCCTTGCCTGACTACAGGGGTTATGTGGAAGTGTGTGTGGTGGCAGGCCAGGGGGGGAGGGGAGGAGCCAGGAAGGGGGAGCTGGGGAGTTTGGCTGAGGGTCTGAGAAATGAGCGCGGGATTGGGAGGGGGGGTTGGGGAAGTGTGGATCAGGTTTACTAGCACCTGCCAGGGAGGCCATCTGGGGCTCCTTCTCCACCCCAGCCCCCAAAGCAGCCCCTCCCCACAGCGCCCTTTGCATTGTCCCCTCCCCCACTCCTGCTGTGGGTTCCCATCATTTCCTGTGTCAGCGCCTGGCCTACCCAGATTGTATCATGTGCTAGATTGGAGTGGGGAAGTGTGTCAAATCAATAAATGAATAAATTCAATAAATGCCTATAACCAGCTCTGGTTTCTGCTGCCTTGCTGCTCCCCTCGGGTAAGGGGGAGGGAGGGGAAAGGTGGGTGGGCAGGAGGGACTGCCCAGAGGCAGAGAGGTAGGGGGTGGGGGAATTTTGGCCTGTGGAGGGGGTGGGGTGGGGGCGGGCGGGGAGTAAGCAGGGGAGGGACACCCAACCCCAGCAGGAGTATATGCACTGTGCCCTAGGCCTCCCAAGGGGAGCCAGTCTGGTTTGAGAAGACCCCACCCCCACCCCGTCCCTCAAAGGCTCATTGTACTAGACTTCCCTGGGTCTCCTCACCCCCACCCATGCGGCTGCCCCAGCCCTCTCCTACTGCTCCCTCCCACCCTCAGCGCCTCCATGGTGCCCAGGACCCAGACTCAAGCCTTAGTGCAGATCCCAGGAGAAGGAGCCTGTTTAAAAAATGGAACCAGCTCCCATTAAGAGTGCAACCATTTCATACCCAGTACTGCTGCTTTCACTTCATTACTGTACTGAGTTAACGATGCTTGTCCTTCTTGTAAAAGTCTGCTCGAGTCTTATAGAGTGGACTCCTGCGGGTGGGCCCCTCTTCATCTGATCGTCCTGCCGCTTTGGACTAGGAAGGGAAAGGAAGTAGATAATTAAGAGGCCCCTGCCAAAGTTTCTACAAACTACAGCCCGAGAGAGGACAGAAGGGCTTGGGCACAGGAGTTAGAGTGGAAAGAGACATCCATCCCAGAAGGCCGGGGTGAACCAACCCTTTGTTGGCTGAGAGCTGAGGTGCTGGACTTGGTAGCTTTTCCCGGTAGGTTCACAACGGACTCAATGGGGACGACCTTCTTGGCCTCTTGAGTCCTAAGGATCTTCAGGCGGCTCCTCTCCAGCAGATCACATTGTGTGCGCAGAGCATCTGGGAACCAGGAAAAGGCCCCTGCACCTCCGAGTACCACAGACTTTACCTGTCCTGACACACATCTTGCAGCTGAGCAGCTGCAGTAAGCAGGCCTCAGATGGGAATGAGGGCATGGTGACAGAGGGTTAAGCCACCACCTGCAATGCCAGCATTCCATATGAGAGCTGCTTCGCATCTCCATTGCTCTGATCCAGCTCCCTGCTAATGTACCTGGGAAGGCAGCAGAAGATGGCCCAAGTTACCTGGGGCCCTGCCACCTACATGGGAGACCCAGATGGAGTTCCACGCTCCAGGCTTCAGCCTGGCCCAGCTCCAGCTGTTTCAGCCATTTGGGATATGACCCAGCAGATGAAAGACCTCTCCCTGTTTGTTACTCTGCCTTTCAAATAAATAAATGTGTTTCTGAAAAGAGAAACACCAAGAAGATAGCCTAGAAATGAGGGGAGGGGCATGACACATATATACTCTACCTGGTTGGAGCTAAATATCCCTCCCAAAGTGGGATCCAGACCCTGGCTCCCATTTCCTGGGCTCCAAAGAGCCTACTCACTCTATGCTATCCCCTTCCCCATCATGCTCCTTACCAAGTAGCTCTGGCTCCGGATTCTTGAGGAGAGGTACAAAAGCCTTGTAGGAATTCTCAAGTCGAGTCCCTGTGAACACAACAGTGTGCTATCCATCCGCAGGCCCTGCCACCCCATCACACCCTTCTGACGCCACAGATTTCAGAACCCCAACACTAAGCACTGCCCTGAACTTGTGAACCTTATTTGTACCCCTTAGGTATAGACCTAAGTGTGATTTACGTACCCTGGGATGAGACAGGGGCCCTGGCATGTAGGAACATTAACTTATCATCATAGTGGCAGTACCCTTTCTTACACTGACCAGAGATGACCCACTTGGATCTGGTGAGGAGGTCCTATTTTAAGGACAAGATTCATCCATTTTGCGCAGGTTCAAGTCCTGGCTGTTCCACTTCTGATCCAGCTCCCTGCTAATGGACCTGGGAAAGCAGTGGAGGATGGCCCAAGTGCTTGGGCCCCTGCACCCACGTGGGGGACCCAGGAGAAGCTCCTGGGTCCTGGCTTCAGATCAGCTCTGCTCTGGCCATTGCAGCCATTTGGAGAGTGAACCAGAGGATGGGACACCTCATTCTCTGTTTCTCCCTCTCTCTGTCTATAATTATGCCTCTCAAATAAATAAATAAATCTTAAAAAAAAAGATTCATCCATCTTGAGAACTTTGCTGAGACACGCATCCCAATCTCTACCTGGTGTGCCACGGTCCACCCTGCACACATAGTAGGTGTTTCGAGCTGTAAGGAACTTGCTGGCATATTCCCCAGGGGTCTTCAACAGGAAAAACAACTTCATTGTCCCCGACTCATCACACAAATCGATGGTGTCTGGAGAGAGGCCACAGGGTAATTGGGGTAGCTAAGGAAAGAGTGGGTGCCCAAAGGGCCAGTGATCCTATCCACAGTGGGTTGGGGAAAGCTATGGAGATCCGAGAAAGCTCCCTTCTCATTAGGAGAAGCATTAAGGGGGGCTACCTTTGCCCCTCGACCCTTCCCCCAAACTCCTCACCTCTTTTGTACAAGCCTAATTTTCTCCGAGCATAATGCAGCAACAGGAGGACAGAGCAATTGGTATTGGCCAGAAAATGCTGATCATCTGAGGAGAGATGGGGGCGGGGAATGTGGACCCTCCTCTAATTACACCAACGCTGAGATCGCCATTGCCATCCCACCTCCCCCCCCCAACCCCATAAAGAGATTCCAGCCCTTAGGCTACCCTTCACCTCCATATTTGATGAAAATGAACATGTTCTTGAGATTGTCTCAATCTTCAATTGCATGAGTCATGCAGCAACAGGCTGGTTTGGAGAATGTTCTAGTGGTCTGGGGGTCCAGGGGAGTACATCAGGTTGGGGGGTGGGGGTAGTAGATGGGTCTCTTAGGTTGAGGAGGCCTAAACTGGGCAGACAGGAGGTATGTGCATAGCCCATCCCTAGGGGTGGGGTCAGAGGCTACAGTTGAGGGATTATGATGTCAGAAGTGGCTCATGGGGCAGAAAGCAGAGTAAGGCTAGGGACAGAATAAACTGGGTGAGGTCTGTACAAGATTTCTTGGGAGTGGGAACAGTGTGGTCAATGTATTCTAGGTTGGGTCCTGGAATGAGTACAGGACACCTGGCGAAAAGTTAAGTTTTCGAAACAGCACTTTCACAGTGTGATGGCTACACCTTTTTTCCTACCCTCAGCACCATGCCTCCCCTCCTCATTATACCCCATGTTTCCCCTGCTCCCCGTGTCCCCCCATAACAGACATTTGTAACGGTTATCAACAGAAACTTTATTTCACATCGGTTCAGGAACAACTGTAGGGCACGTAGAAAGAGGGAAGGGTGAAAAAAGTCCCACCAAAAGGAAGGGCCACGGCGCTGGGGGAGATAAGCACATGCAGGGAGAAGGGGCGATTCTCCAGTAGAGGAGGCTAAATGAAGGGGCAGTTAACATGAGGCACAAAATTCAAAATTAGCCACAGGTGGGCAAGGTGAGCATGGGACCCAAATTGTTTGGATAGTATCACTCGGGGCTACAGGACTCTGGGGTTCTGTCAGGGAATAGGGCTTAGGTTTCAGGCTTCAGGGTGTAACATGGAGGGGCCCAGTAGGGGCTATGCTGGCTGCAGGGGGAGCCCCCAGGCCCCTCTCCTAGGGCTCCTCCTTTTGGGGGGATCTCACTGACGTGGCAGAGCCGTTCACTGTAGTCTGGCTGCAGACTCTCGGCCAGTCCCTTAGATACACCACTCCAAGCCTAAACACAGATATCTCCAGGTCAGAGGCGAATTACAGGCAGGAAGTAAAAGACGCAGGCTCTACGCCAAGGGAGGTCTCAAGATGTCTGCAGCCACTATGATCACAGAGTGGACACAGGGACACACAGACTCCTGGGCCCCCAATACCACTGTTGCCATCTGTCCCACCCAATCTCTAATCTGTCCTGTGTAGCGTCTCTCTGTCTTGTCTAGCCCATCCCCCATTTGGTTGGCCACATACTGACAGTTGGGACAGGCTCCTCTCCTCCCCCCGCCGCCCCCGCTCGCCCTCCACCTACTCTGCCTTGCTGTTGGCAGTTGAGACTGCAGTATACATATGACAGCGTTCTCACCGAAAAGTTCCCGTGGTATTCAGTAACCAGATCCTCTAGATTCTTCAGGGTAGGAATCTGGGGCATCGTCCTGAGGCAGGGGAAAGAGGGAACAGGGGTACACAGGTTAAAGCTTTTATTATTATTATTATTTTATTACCCCTCTCTCTAAGGTGTCACAGAAACAACAAAGCGATTTTCTGTGTTCTCTGTGCCTGTGACTTCCTTCCACCGCCAAGCCCGCTTGGGTGATCCCATATTCCTCACTGTCTCACCTTCTACTCCCAGAGACCCTGCTAGAACCCTCCTCCATAGTCCCAGACACCTCCAACTTCATGCTCAGGGCTTCCCGAAATCTCACCGTTCCAGCCAGCAATACACACAGATGAGGCCAACAATCAATCCCATGGAGACGATGGGGATAAGCACAGCTTCCAAAACAAACGGTGAAGGATTCTCTAGAGAAAAAAAAGAAGGGAAACAGATCTTATGTTTGTGGTGCCCCTACTATGCGCCAGTAATCACAGAGCCCCAACTTGGTGACAGGCACTGTGCTAAACACGTGTCCTATGCTTTTTTTTAAATGTTATTTATTTATTTGAGAGGTAGAGTTACAGATAGAGAGGTAGAGACAGAGAGAAAGGTCTTCCATCTTCTGGTTCACTCCCCAAATGGCTGCAATGGCTGAAGCCGAGCTGACCCGAAGACGGGACCCAGGCGCTTCCTCTGGGTCTCCCATGTGGGTGCAGGGGCCCAAGCACTTGAGCCATCTTCCACTGCTTTCCCAGGCACATTAGCAAGGAGCAGGATCAGAAGCGGAGCAGCTGGGATTCGAACTGGCACCCACATAGGATGCCAGCGCCACAGGTGGAAGTTTAGCCAGTCCCATTCCCTATACCTTTAAAAAATGTTTCTTTTCATCTACTTGAAAGGCAGAATGACAGACAAAGGGAGGGAGGGAGGAAGGGAGGGAGCAAGGGAAAGAGAGAGAGAATCTTCCATCCACTGGCTCACTTCCCAAATGGTCACGACAGCCAAATTGGGTCCAGGCTAAAGCCAGGAGACAGGAACTCCATGTGGGTCTCCCATGTGGGTAGCAGAGACCCAAATACTTAACACATCACCAGCTGCCTCCCAGGGTACATTATGGGAATCTAGATCAGATGCAGAGCACCTAGGACTCAAACTGGCCCTCCAATATGGGATGCGGGCATCCCAAGTGGCAGCTTAACCAGTGGCACCGCAATACCCACCCCACATTCCCTATATTTAATCCCCACACTGGCTCCTGAGAAGGTGGAACAATTATTATGCCCACGTTACAGATGAGCAAGCAGGATCAAAAAGGTTAGTGATGTGCCCAAGGCTAAAGAGGTAGTATGGTCTTTCTGGTTCCAAAGCCACCTTCCCCCAACAAGCCCTCTGGGAATGCTGATGGGAAGTTCCCTCCTACCTTGCCCTTCAGTACCCCTTAAGCCCCCTTCTCAATCCACTCCCCTACTCTGAAAATACATGGATCCAACCCTACACAGAAAAATCTTGCTTCCTGGGGGTGGGGGCAGGGAGGTTGAAGAGTGAGAGGAGAAGGGGCGCCAAGTTTAGGGGCTTAGGGATAAGGAGGCAGAGCCGGAAGTGTGTTACTAGGTTGGGGTCCTGCACTAGGCCCATTTTACCCTTTGAAGTTTTGCTCCCCCAGTGGATCGGGTGGCTCCATTCACTCCAATGCTGAGCACTCCCACACAAAGGGTTAAAACGGCTCCGGACTCGGAACGTGTAGAGTTTCTGCCCATCCACGCTAGGAAGGGAGAAGCTTTGTCTGTGATGCACGGGCTGTTCCTTGGGAAGAAAGAGGGTGCGGGAAGGGTGAGTGTCTACTAAAGCAGAATAGTAGAACAGTGTTATCTTCTGGTTCTTCCCAGCTCTGGTTTTGCCCCTTTCCAAAGAAACCCAGTTCTGGATCTTCCCTCCTCTCTTGACTTCCCAAGCCACAGGGACCCTGTCACTGTCATGAATCTAATGCCTCCCCCCCCACCTCCCCCAGATCTCCTTAATTAAGGCTTCGTTTTGTTCGCTTGTGTCTCTGGCATCAGGAAGGAGAAGGGTAGTGAAATCTAAATGAAAACTCACTGGAGATGAGAGCCAAAGAACTCAGAAGAGGGTGGGGGTGGGGCGCAGACAAACTGGGAGGCA